AAAAAAAAAAAAAAGAAAATGTAGTAGAGCCAGTCTGGTGGATAAAGTTGTCTCTGGGTAAGACCTCCGTTTAAACCTTGCTCAAGATATTTGGTAAACTTTCTTAACTTCCCTGGAGATAAACTCCCCCATTTACTTATCTATATAGTGAAGACAGTGATAAGACCTCATAAGATTTGTGTGGGGATTAATGAGCTAATGGCAGGAAAACACCTGCCACACATTAAATGAGCAATAAGTGAGAGCGATTGCCGTCATACATCAATTAGGAGTGTTTTTAGAAAAAGCAAATGGGGAACAAAATCACTGTCTTTTTCTAAATCTCTTTCATGACTATCTCAGACTGGGTTTGATGCTGCTGCTGTGTGTTTCAGCCACTGCAGCTGACAGACTCCGGCCCAGCCACCTTGCCTGTTGACAGCCATGCAGCCCTGACTGGCACCATCATCCCCAGCCCACGGGAGCAGCAGAGGCAGCTAGATGCCCATTTCTGCCAGCCAGTCCTTATCTGACTGCCAGCCCATCAGCCACAGTCGGAGGCTGCCTTCCCCATGGAACAGGGGCCTTTCCTCTCTCTCAGCCCCACTCGGAGCCTAGGCTTGTGCTGGGTTGCCTGCTTCCCACTTGGAGGTCAACTTCCACCCAGGGCTTCACCTTTGGCCTCCAAGACTTTTCTTTTTTTCCTTTAGCTCAGCAGTCAGGTGAGGTGAGGGTGGCTCTTGCATATAATCCCAGCACTTTGGGAGGCTGAGGCTGGTGGATTGCTTGAGCCCAGGAGTTCAAGACCAAGCCTGGGCAACATGGCAAAACCCCATCTCTACAAAACATTTAAAAATTATTGAATGAAAGTTGCCAGGAAGAAAAAAGAAAAAAAAAATTAGCTGTGCACACCTGTAGTCCCAGCTACTTGGGAGGCTGGGGTGGGAGGATTGCTGGAGCCTGGGAGGTCGAGGCTGCGGTGAGCTGAAATCACACCACTGCACTCCAGCCTGGGTAATAGAGCAAGACTCTGTCTAAGAAAAAAAAAAATTAGCACTCGATTTCCTCATTGTTGTGACTTCTTCCCCTGCTCTGGCAGGCTCCTCTAGGACAGGTCTGCACTGATCTCTCCAACCATCGCTGACCCGCAGTAGGATGGGCTGGGCTCTGAGAGAGCTGAACACTGGGCCAGGCAGGGCAGGGAGGCCTGTGTGTCCTGCAGGAGAGAGAGCTGGGCCGTGCTGCGCTCTGATGAGCGTGAGCTGGGTGGCGGGAGGCATGGGCCGGGTGGGACGGCTCCCAAGAAGGTTGGAGAAGGGCTGGCCTCGGGACAATGGAGCAGAACATTCCAGATTAGCTGTGGCATCCATCGCCCAGCCTGGGCCATCCAGCAGGGTGGGGGCCACGGCAGGATTGCTACAACCTGCTCACATCCCCGAGACTCTTCGGAAGGAAGACCTAGGCCAGTAGCCGAAGGACCTCCCAGTGACTCACGTTCAAAACCAAAGATGAAAAGGGAGATGCTGTCTCCTTACACTAGCCATAACTCCAAACTTTCTGAAAAAGGCTTAAACCCTTAAGGCTTCTGCTTACTCAAATGGAAAGAAAGTGGAAGGAAGTGTCCCTTCAAAGAGAAACTTTCTGCTTCGTCTGAAGATGACTGCAGCCTAATTCTGGCTCTGAAATTCTCTTACCCAGTCCCAGCCAAGCTCCTGGCTCCTCCGGGCCTTGCTTTTGGTGCCTGTAAGGCAGCTCTGGAGTGATAGGGGCAAGCCCTGCCTGCGAGGAGTGGGGGAAGGCATGAGTGTGATTTGTGGTTGCTGGTACTTGATGCCCACACACAGCATGTGTTGCTCTTGGTATAGTTTAAGATATTTTTATAAAATCAAAAAAAAAAAAAAAAAAAAAGAAAAAGAAAGACTGGTGTCTCATCTTGTTCCAAATCCCCTTTGGGAAAGTTTGCTAATAGCTGCCATTTATTTAGAAAAAGTACACAGAACACCATGGTGTGGTAACACCATTCTTCCCATTTTACAGACAGGGATGCTGAGCCTTAGGGAGATGAAGCAATCTGCCTAACTGCCGGCACTGAGGAGCAGTGGGCCGCAGGCAAGCAGGAGCGCAGAGCTGGGCTCCGGGCACAGGGAGTTCCCGCTCCGCCCACCCTCGGGGGCTCCCGGGACAGGCCTGCCTCCGGACCTTTGCAGGTGCTGTTCTTCGGCTGGGATCTCCCCTCCCTCCCGCCTCCTGCCCTTCCTTCAGGCCTCTGCCCCACGCCTGCTATTACCGAACCCTCCCTCCCACATGACCGGTCCACCTCTTCCCCCTTTCCTCGTTTGATCACTCTCTGTCTTCCCCACTAGAACGAAGGCTTGTGGGATCTTTGTCCGTGGCTGTATCTTTAGCATCTAGGAGAAGGTGCCCCTCACTATTAATTCAACAAATCATCGTCGAATGAATGAGTGGCTGCCAGAATTAGCGGGTCTGGTGGGCAGAGCAGCAGCGGTGGGATGCCGGGATTTGAGGGAAAGGCCCCTCCGAGCCCTCGGGACTGTCTGTGGACTTAACTACGCCACAGGGCCCCACTCTGGCAGAGCACAGTTCAACAGCCAGGAATGACCCCAGCTCCCTTCCCTACTCCACCCTTCAACAGAAGACGGAACAGCTTCTCCCCACCGCCCAGCTTCCAGCAATACCTCCCCTTGGGGCCTTTTCTGCTCTTTTTCCCTCAGGAGGTACTGTGGGAGTCAGGGGGTTGGGGGTAGGGGGCAAGCACGAGGGTCTCTGGGGAAGGGAGATCTGTAAACACTCCTGTTTTAGCCCTGAAATCGCATTGCGGTCTCTTCCCCCTGGCTGGTTTGTTCAGCCAGAAAAAACTTTATTTTGGGGTGAACAGCTCGGCTGGCTTTTCAAGACTCAGTTCAGGCATCTCTGTGGCCCCTCTTCCGGGTTAGTGCCCTCCTTGCTGTCCTCAGGGCATCTCAGCCCTCTCCCTGCTCATCTCAGCAGCTTTGCCTCTGTGTGCTTCTCAGCCAACACTCACGGGCTGGGGTCATGCCTTTCTTCCTCTGGGCCCCAGGCCCAGAATGGCAGGGCCACAAATCAATGTTTGCTGAGTAACTGAAGTGGGTTGGGAAGGGTTCTCCCAGACGAAGGCACCTGACGTTACCACCTGAGAGCCAGCACTGCACATCATCAGGGAGCCTCACCCTTGTCAACATGCCCTCTCCAGCTCCAAGTGCCAGGGCCAGCCAAGAATCCGGAGGGACCACATCTTATGTAGGCCATATGACAGACTCCAGACAAACAATGTTTGCCCTGCAAAACCAGTGCTGCTGGGCCGGGGGTGGTGGCCTGTAATCCCAACACTTTTGTAGGCTGAGGCAGGTGGATCACCTAAGGTCAGGAGTTCAAGACCAGCCTGGCCAACTGGTGAAACTCTGTCTCTGCTAAAAATGCAAAAGAAAAAAAAAATTAGCAAGGCCTGGTGGCACATGCCTATAATCCCAGCTACTAGGGAGGCTGAGGCAGGAGAATTGCTTGAAACCGGGAGGCAGAGGTTGCAGTGAGCCAAGATCCCACCACTGCAGTCCAGTCTGGGCAACAGAATGCAACTCCATCTCAAACAAACAAACAAACAAACAAACAAAAAAAAACCCAGTGCTGCTGGTCGCAGGCTGCCCTGTGGTTGGTTCCTATCCAGCTCAGAGAACAAGGACACCAGCATCATGGGCATCTCACTCCTGCTTCCCTTCCCTCAAGCTCCAACAGCTTCCTGTTTACATCCTCAGGCTGACTGCAGAGTGGGGGCTGGGGAGTGGGGGGGTTCTCACTTATAGGGAGAAAGAAATCCTGGATGGGGATGAGAAAGGGGAAGAGCAGGAGGGGAAGCCCTGAGGGATGGGTGAGCACCCCGGACGCCCAGAAACCTCATGCCTTTCCGTTCTGACTCATCTGTCCTCTAGTTCTTTCTAGCTTCTTGGCAAGGACAGAGGCCCCTGCTGAGAGGGCTTTAGGAATGGCCAAAGTCTGACATGGTGCAACCTCAGCCACGCCAAGAAAGAACTTGGATACGTCTGTCTCGCTGTTTTTCCAGTTTTTGTTTGCACCTCACAGGAAGAACTGGTCCGCCTTCATTCCCAGGCCTACCAAACTGACAGGTTCTTCAGTGTGGGTGGGGCCCCTGCTTACGGCCTTAACCAGCAACTGCACTAGAGAACTCTCTGTCTAGACTACAGCCACGTTTCCCAAAGTCATCAGATTAAAGGCATCACCTGGAAGTTCTCATTGGGTCGTCTGGGGATTTCTGAAGGGCCACAGATGATTTATAAAATAGCTCAGTAAAAACCAACCTCAGCTGGGCGCCGTGGCGCAGGCCTGTGAGCCCAGCACTTTGGGAGGCCAAGGTGGCTGGGTCACTTAAGACCAGGAGTTCGAGACCAGCCTGACCAACATGGTGAAACCCCGTCTCTACTAAAAATACAAAAATTAGCCGGGCCTGGTGGCGTGTGCCTGTAGTCCCAGCTACTCAGGAGTCTGAGGCAGAGGTTGCAGTCAGCCAAGACTGTGCCATTGTACTCCAGCCTGGGCAACAAAAGCAAAATTCCATCTCAATAAATAAATAAATAAATAAATAAATAAATAAAAACCAACCTCATAGGGAGTGATATAAAATGTGAAAAACCAACCAGCCAGCCTCATTAGCGCTTGGTCCCTTCTCACCTGTCAAGCCTAATTCCCTGCGCATGCGCTCTGAGCTTCCTCCCGCAGTCCGCTCTGCCTGGAAGGCCCTTTCCCGCCTTTGACTGTCTGGGGAGCTCTGAGTCTGCGTTTTCAGCCTGGGAAGGCTTTCTCCATCACACTCTTGAGGCCTCTTACAGAGTTAGGGGTGTCCTCTGTTCCCATAGCTCTGTGCCTGTTTCTCATCTGGAGCCTGCAGCAGGCTGGAATGAGAGATGGCAGTAAGAAACCAGCCCTCCTTATGAGTAAACGTGTATTTGGTAACTGATACAGCTAAAGAGCTGGTTAAGTCTTGCTTTTCCTGAAACAGTGCTGCTGACTTGTACAGCTGATCAGTGTCGCTCGCCAGTCCCAGATTATTTCAATGGCTCCCCATTGTGCCTGGGATTGAGTCCAAGATTCAAGCTCCTAGGGTGCTGCAAGAGCCCTAAATGCCCTGTCGGCCCTCCAGCCTCATCGCCACCCACCCTCCCTCCCTCCCTCCTTGCATTTCCTCACAAGGGCCACACTCTCCCACCTCCCACCTTCATTACTGAGTTCCCCCTGATTAGAATACCTTCTCCTCATGTCCCACCCTGCCTCTTCTGACTCCTACTCATCTGCCAGAAGTCACCTCCTCTGGGAAGCCTTTCCAGGTTGATGAGAGGTGACTCAACGTCCCCTGGCAAGATGCAGAAATCAGGATGCCCCTAGGGGGTTGGATAAATATAGGATGCTATCTCCACAAAACGAAATAAAAATGGAGATGTGAATTGTCATATTTCTTTATTAGGCAGTTTAAAAAATATTATTATGTTCATGGCAATATATTCAAGAATGTAACGTTAAGAGTAAATCTCCTCCTGGTTTCGGTCTTCCCCGAGGCACCCACTGTTGTCAGTTTCTTGGGTGGGTCTTACAGAGATGCTCTACCTCTATACAGGTACACATATATATCAAGGTGAGAGAGGGGTAAAGATGGGGGGATATGAAATGTATTTAAGTCACAGCCCCTGCACCTGAGAAACTCACAACCTTCCTGGGAAGGTTAAATCAGCCCCACCTCATGAGTTAGAGTATTAAGTGGCATGTGGGAACCTGAATGAGGTCACTCACTCAAGGCCACTCACAGCCACTCAGAGCCAGGATTCAAGCCCCAGCGAGCTTGAATGGGCTTTTCCACAAACCACCCACCCACCATAAGTAAAGGGGACACCTTCCATAAGTAGAAGCAGTCAGAGTTTCTAACCCCCAGTTGCCGGGTATAGTTTGAATGTGCATTATTGTAATTCCTCTGTTGTGAAGTCCTGGTTCTTGGACTTTTAAAGCTGGGACCCAGCTGGGTCTGGGGCTGGAAACCAGGACTGACAGGTCCAATAAAAGTAATAGTCCATCAAGCTTTGTTGCTTGAACTATGGTTAATGCAAGTTATGACAGGAAAAAACAAAGAAAAACACTCCATGAAGCTGAAGTAGTGAAATGAGACTCCAGCTTCGAGAACCGAAACGTATTAAAATTGGGGCATCTTTTGGTCTGGCACCTCCACCCAGACCATTTGACACGTGAAAAAATCTAGAAAGGTGAAGTGACTTGCCGGAGGTCACCGGGTTGGTTTTGGCGAAATGAGGACCAGTACACCTGGTTCCTCTGCTGAGTTAGTCACTGTCCACAGCAGCGCCTTCCCCACCACCAAGGGAGAAAGGCTGCAGGTGGTGCGCGTGCGCCATGTCCTTCCCGAGACGTGGCCTGTGCACGCTTGGCGTATTCTCTTACTTCACTGGAGAACCGATGGGAACGTCAGGCTTGGAAGACCAAGTCAGGGACTCAATGACTGCATCACGGTCGTTGTTCCTAGCTACAAACCACCGACAGCGACTGCCTGAGTGGAGAAGAAAATGTATCAGAAGGTAAACAGGCAGTGCACAGAGCCACCACAAGACCCTAAAACTAGGTTTAAAGCTGCACAGTCAGGGACAACACCCGACGGAACCTGAGCCCTGTGTGCGGAGAAACCTCCACGTGTCCCCAGCCGGATCAGCGCCCTGCTGTGGCAGGAATTCAGATGTGCTGCACTGCCCACCATCCGCAGTGGACATTCTCGGGAGTCCTGGCCTCCCTCGGACCCCCACAGGCCCCCCGGGTCTGGATCAGGGCCCTCTGGTGGGCCAGTCGGGCCACATGCCCTGGCCGTAGTTGCAAAAGGGAGTCGGAGAAAGGGGAAACAGAGTGTTTCTCTAGTAGAAGGTGGGGACCTCCTCCCGATAAAACCAAAGTGGTGGGAATCTCCCAAACATGAGAAAGGGGTTCAATTCCCCGCTGACCCAAAAAAGAAGATGAATGTCCTCCACCTATTGGAAGTGGAGCACAAGGAAGGTGGATGAGTCCTAGAGCTGGGAGGGAGAGCAGACCCTCTTTGGGGCCAGGGCAGCTGGGTCTATTAAGTGCAATTTGACTTCTTGGTGCAGAAATGTAACACATGAGGCATAACTCCACTATCCCAATACCACAGGGTCAGGCTTGCCAGATGAAAGTCACATGCTTGGGGAATTGCAACACAGGAAGAGAAATTGAGCAATCCCAGTGAGAAATGAAGTCTAAGTATGTTAGAGAGGAAGAGAAAGCTAATCTCTTCCTACCCTGGTTAAGAAAGATTTTGAATGGAGAAGGGAGGAAAGGAGGCTGACTTGTATTAAGCACCTTCTGTTTTTGAGCACCAGGCCCTGAAATGTGGCTGGCATGAGCTACTTTAATATGGAGAAAGAAACAGTACAATCTTGATAATTTGGGGATTGGGGAAAAGACTCCTTTCCGTGTGTTTCTTCCATTAGTGTCACAGCCTCCCGGCTTCTCCCCCTTCCCCTCAAGCCCCTCCTGGAAGGAGGAGGTGGTTGGGAGCTGCAGAGGACAGCATAAGCCTAGCTCTGCCTGCGTCCTGCTTTCCCTTGGGTAGGGCCTCCCATCGGCAGCTGGCGAGCACAGCCAGACAGCCAGCACTGCAGTGAGGTCCGAGTGTCTCAGTCCTGCCTATGGCCAGATAGGTGGATCTAATTCTCGGTATGACATTAGGAAGTTGGTTGTTGCCTGGTTCATCTAAGCCACATCCTCAATCCTGGCCTTCATCAGCAATGAGGGTAACACTGCAATCCATACCTATTTTACTCCTTTATGTCTCAATAGATTAGAACTCACACTGAGGAAAAGGGATGATCCTTACTAATTCCCCTCCTCAAATCTCATCTGTAATTTCTGATGGCATTAGCACAGCATTTGCCAAATATAAAAGGATTCAATTTTTAATCATCCTAGGAATCAGGGCTCTTAATTAGGGTTTGGGGTTGGAGTTCAGAGCATGGGACATTCTTTTTTTTTCTTTTCTTTTTGAGACAGGGTCTTGCTCTGTTACCCAGGCTGGAGTGCGGCAATGCCATCACAGCTCACTGCAGAATTGACCTTCTGGGCTAAAGTGATCCTCCCACATCAGCCTCCTGAGTAGCTGGGACCACAGGCGTGCCACCATGCTCGCCCCTTCTCCATAAAGTCTGAGGGAAAATTACTTTTTCTCTAAGACATTTTTGTAGCTGAGAGTGTTACATGACATAGTTGGCCAATGAAGTATAAGCTGAAGAATCCTGGGAAGATTTTGCTTCCTTAATTGCAGGTGTGATTCTTTTTTTTTTTTTTTTTTTTGAGACAGAGTTTGCTCTGTTGCCCAGGCTGGAGTGCAGTGGCCCAATCTTGGCTCACTGCAACCTTCACCTCCTGGGGTTCAAGTGATTCTCCCACCTCAGCGCCCCCAGTAGCTAGGATTACAGGCACCTGCCATCATGCCCAGCTAATTTTTGTATTTTTGTAGAGATGGGGTTTCGCCATACTGGCCAGGCTGGTCTCAAACTACTGATCTCAGGTGGTCTGCCCACTTCAGCCTCCTGAAGTGCTTCAACCAAACCGTGTGCCACCATGCCCAGCCACAGCTGTGATTCTTAAAACTATGGTGGCCACTTTAGAAGTTAGAGGCAATAAAGAGGCCCCAAAGCTAGCTTGATAAAGATGATGAAAGAGGAAGATAGACATTGTCTGGATTCTTGGTGGCATTGTTTGGATGACTCCAGTCTGCAGGAAAGGCACACAGAAATTTTTTTTTTTTTTTTAAAGATGGGGTTTCACCATATTGGTCAGGCTGGTCTCGAACTCCTGACCTCAGGTGATCTGCCCACCTCAGCCTCCCAAACTGTTGGGATTACAGGCGTGGGCCACCGCGCCTGGCTAAGGTATTTGTACACCCAGGTTCATGGCAACATTATTCTTTTTTTTTTTTTTTTTTTAAAGACGGGGTTTCACCATGTTGGTCAGGCTGGTCTTGAACTCCTGACCTCAGGTGATCCACCCGCCTTGGCCTCCAAAGCACTTGGATTACAGGCATGAGCCACTGCGCCCGGCCTAGAAAATTTTCAATGAAACGAATGAGGTGGGGACCAATTTGTGGAACCCTGAGGAAACAAATAATACAGAAAATAGAAAAACAATTGTAAAAATTAATTACTATTTCAGCTAAGTAAGAGAAGATCCTAAATTCACAAATTGAGATTAGGATGTTCAAAAACAGGAACAATCAGAGAACAAGTCTCCTGAAAAATTAAACATATGACAAGAAATAAAACATTTCAGAGAATCACTGGAAGATCAAGAAAATCATCCTGAAAGTAGAAAAATAAGAAAAAAAACTCCAGGCACCATGGCTCATGCCTGTGATCTGAGCTCTTTGGGAGGCT